GTTTTTGTCGCCTTCCGGTGCGACGGCGGCCATCTTGATGTTTGTTTACATAGCGCGCGTTTGCCATCCAAGAAGTCACGTGATTTCTTAGTGCAAGTCGCCTGTTGGTTCTTGTTGCCTGGTTAACTYGCTTGAGGTAGTTGGTGTCAATTGTTTGTAGTTTCTTCTTAACGCAAGGTTGGATGTCTTGATAATGTAGGATCATGGAGTGTCCGCAATCTTCATAACCACTGCTGGCATATCTTGATCTGTCACCAACACTTCCTCTCCTGGTTCTATGGTCTGGTAGTTACTTCGCTCTGTAACGCTGGCCGTGGTATTGGTTGTAGTTAAGCCTTGCTACATCATTTTCTCTCTCTTAGCTTGTCTAGGTCTTGCCATTTAGAGGGTAAACTCTGTGCTCCAGCATGGTCAAGCACGTTTTTGCAGGGTCTGAATTCTGTTCAATACTGTACTGCGGGCCATTGTCTCAGCGCACTTCTTCAGGTATTCCATGTCTCGCGAAAACCGATTTCAAGGCTCGATTTTTTTCTATTGATTTCTTTGATTTGGCTAAAGCTGCCACTTCGAGGTACTTATAGAGAAGTAGTGTATCACTACAGTTTAGTCCATGTCTGAATTCAGACAGATCTGTCACGATACGTTGTCGCGGTCGTTCTGGGTACGGAGTTGGTACCAAGGGCTCAGCTTTGTTCACTTTAATTGTTGTGCACACTCTGCAGTTTTCTACCATGTTTTGGATCTCTCGACTCAGTCCTAGCCACCATATCACTGATTTCGCTCCTGTCCTGCACTTATGCCGGTTATGACCTCTGGTGCCCTTCATGTATCTTGTCCAGTACTTTCATTCTCATTGCTGAGGGGACGTCAATCCTGTTCGCCTTTACTAGTAGGTTTTGGACAACTGTTATCTCGTCTCTTTCCGTCCAGCAAGGTTTTATGATGTCGTTAACGTACTCTTTGTCAGGCCATTCTTCCATCGTGTATGTTCTCAGTTGTCTGCATACTTCGTCCTCTTTGTGTGCTTTTTGTGATGTCCTCTAACGCTCTTCGAAGACAGCATGCCCAACTCAAGACAGGGACACTAGCTAACAAAAAGTTGTGGGTTTTCGATGATCGTACTTGAGACTGACCTTGATGAGGCTCTAAGTCTCATCTAATGAACTTGGATTCATCTCTGATAAAGTCGTCCTCATTAGTATTCTTTATGTAACGACGTGTATGGTCGCTCCAATTGATTCAAAGGCTCAGGATTATTTATTCTTGAGTTTTTGAAGTACAAACACTAAATCGGTGCAACAAAATACTACAAAGGGCTTTTGAAAGCAAATAATCTGCAGCAATTTACTTTCTGAAACAATGCCATATGTGCAACCAAGTTGAAGATTGTTGTGCTCATAATATTATTACATTATTGTATATTGTTGATATATGGTTTGCGTGACAACAGTAAACGACACTAGATAGATAGCTTTAATTGTCATATCATTGTAGCCTCCGGGCTGACTGAATTGCTATATACTTTTTACGCGATTAAAAACAAATATTTAACATATAGAAACATCAATAAAGGAAAAGGAGGTATATATATATACACACTCGATTGCAGAAACGTTGTAGTATACATTTATACATATATCTAATGAGATTCAAGATATCAAATGAGGTGCAGAACGTTTTAACATGCTTAAATACGATTGATTAACCACGAAATTTTATGGAATATATTTTTAACTTGACTTTGTGCGATCAGTCATGTCTCTGATAAAGAAGATAAGTAAAAACCAAATAAGTTACTTTTTAAGTATTCATTTGATACCTTGCATCTATATATGTATAAATAGAAACCTAAAAAATAAACCGTCCTTTTTTCACGAGGGTAGCACTTAATAGCCAGTGACTAACAAACCTGTGGCCCTCATTCCGTGATCGAATTGGAATCTAGGAGTTGATTTTTGCGGAGGGAGGAAAACCGGAGAACCCGGAGAACCCTCGAAGCACAGGAGAGAACCAACAAACAATTCTACTCATAAAACAACACCGAGCCTGGCGGGACTCAAACTCGGTTCGCATTGGTGAGAGGGGAGCGCTCACACCGCCACGCCACCCGTGCTTCCCAAAACAAAGACATCCTTTAGGCATTAGAACCGAAGAAACGAAACAGAACTCTCAAAGCATATTTAGAACTTAAAAGACGCTAACAAAACTTTTAATATTAAGTGGAATATTCTCAAAAAATGTAGACCGTATAGTAATGTAAGTAAAAAATGTAATTTATGTCTAACTAAAAAGCACATAATTATCTGTAAAAAGCATTTATGTAGCTTCAACAAACGCAATGAATTAGCACGCCCTTGTCGACACAGGAACAAATACAGTCAATTCATGCAAAAAACGTTGTCGTCGACCGGCTCAAGCCTACGCGACTGGACCGAAAGGAATATGGGTAAAAGTCACTGAAGCGGTTAAATATTCGTTCTGAATTAATTGTTCCCGCTAGTAATAAGATAATAATGGCGGGAAACAATTCATCAAATGCATGTCTTCGGGTTTAGGGAAAGAAAAACAAGGTAGTTATGATTTAGTTTACAATTTTTCGCGCATGCGCAGTTTTCCGGAAATGAAACATAATGAAAATTATGCTTTCAAACCTGCTTTCAAACAGAGTTCTGCGTTTACTTCCGATCAAAATAAGAATTAGAAATCGGGAACATATTTTATTTTTATTTTTGGCAAGTCTTTAAACGTATACGCTCTTATAGCGGAAGTCCAAGAAATCCTGGTCTCAAAAAAATGGATTATGCCCTCGTTCTTCGCCGCAAGTAACTTATTTGGTATTATTTATCTTCTATTATATATCAGAGACATAAGTATTGCACAAAGTCAAGTTCATTTTTGTGGTTAAACAAACATATTTAAGCATGTTTTACATTCTGCATCTCATTTGATATCTTGATATCTCATTAGGTATATGTATAAATGCATACTACAACCTTTCTGCAATCAAGTGCACCAGCCATTCACCCTGATGAAGGCTGTTTTGCTTGCTGTGCTGTGTGGAGTTATAAAACACTTATTGATTGGCAAAACACTCCGCTACGCGTCGTGCTTCCCCTGCTAACACTTCTCTGGTGTTCTGCCAATCCACACATCCTTTATAACAAATCCTTTATGACTGCACACAGCGCGCGGCGTTTTCTATTCCTTCAAAACATGTTTTAACATTAAATTTGAAAATAAAACTCTGCTGAATAGATCTTATTTCAGGTTTTTTTATTTATCAAACTGAGCTTACTTTTACCCCAAAAGATTTCAAAACGGTTTTTTTAAAACTAGTTTTTCAAAACCGATTTTTTACTGTACAAAATAACTTAAAGTGGTAAATATCGCAGGATATTTGTACTCGCCCCAGGCTTTCTCCTGCGTTATTTGTAGCGGAGCCTCCCTTAAGAAAAAATGGTAAATAATCGAATTGATTTATCATGGCTTGACTGACGTCACTTCCGTCCGTCCGGCCGTCTGTGTACACGACACAGGAATCTCGCTTGATGTCAAAACAAAACTACCCACAAATGCGGTTCTCAAAAGTTTTCAATATTTTTTTATTGATTAACATACTGTGTTTAATTATGATTCTTTTGCTGTGATTTCTTACGATTTTCAACTAAAGTTTTCTCGGCCGATATAATATGTGACATAATGAACCTTCGTATAGGGTTACTAAAATAAATCTTTTCCTTCCGCGGCAGTGCTGGTGTTTGTTTTTCACTCGGTTGGAATTTCGTCAAAGGCGGTCTGTTCTTTCTAAGCATGCTCGACGAAATGGCAGAAACTAAGGAAACTCTAGAAATTTAGGATGATTACCATTCAGCAGAAAAATCTGGTTAGGAAGCCTAAAAAGTTTTAATGGACTAAGTTTTGGACGGTATTTTTGATTTACGACTTTAAGCGAAGGATATAGTCGCCTTCACAGTTCCCTGCGCCATCTTGAAAGGTAGCCGTGCCTTTTGAATCGAAGTGAGACGAACGTTATATATCGCTTGCAATGATAGGCACCTTTTTTTACCACCTTATCCTTTTGAATAATTATTCACATGTATCTATTATTGCAAGCTCTCCGTTCGTCTGGCTTCGATGTAAAGGCAAGGCTACCCTTAAGATGGCGCAGGGAAATGTGAAGGGGAATATCAGGAAATTCCGGTTCGAATCACATCGTTCGGAAATTATTCAGTACAACCTCTAGAGGTTCTCCACAACTTCTGAATGTCATTTTCGAAAGATGATCGAACCATTATCATTCTGTCCAGAATTTCCATTTTTTTTTTTTTTTTTTTTTTTTTTTTTTTTTTTTTTTTTTTTTTTTTTTTTACTGAATGGTAATTAAGCACCCCTGGTTACCTGGTATGTAATGCGCATGCTCGAATTTGAATCATAGCTAGAGCTCCGTAAATCAACGGGTTTTTATTTTACTCCCTCAAAAAGCCGGGGTTTTTTTTTTTTGTTTTAAAGCTACACGTTCTGCCATCTTATCGACTTTAATATTGCAAAGGCTCTAGTGACTAGTCTTTCAATACATTTTTATGAGAAATATTCTAACCAATCAGAGCTCTTCAAAATTTTAGGTTTATGTGCTTGCTACTAGAAGGGTGTCTATAGATTACTATGTAGCTCGTTGTGCACAGTCTCGTTCGAATGAACATGATACTTCTCGTGCCCTTCTTCGCCACTATGACGAACAAAACCTGCATGAAAGAATTCGAGAGTATCTTTACGTTTTGGTTATTGTACTGATACTGATAATGCGATGATGATGATGATGATGATGATAATGCGATGATGATGATGATGATGCCATGATGATGCTGATGCTGATAATGCGATGATAATGATGATGATAATGCGATGATGATGATGATGATGATAATGCGATGATGATGATGATGCTGATAATGCGATGATGATGATGGTGATGATGATGCTGATAATGCGATTATGATGATAATGATGATGATGATAATGCGACGACGATGATGATGATGATGATGCTGATAATGTGATGATGATGATGATGATGCGATGATGATGATGATGATGATGCTGATAATGGGATGATGATGATGATGATAATGCTATGATGATGATAATGATGGTGATGATAATGATGATGATGATAATGCGACGATGATGATGATGATGATGCTGATAATGTGATGATGATGATGATAATG